AGAATTTTGCGCTCCAAACATTTGCTTGCTGGGAGATGTCACATGTTAAATCTGTCAAGCAAAACAAAAACGCACTCATCAACTTATCAACAGCGCGGTGCACACGGAAGGGCTTCATACAGTACAACAGCAAATAGTTTCCCAGCACACTCACCGGCCGGCATGCAAAAGAAAAACTTGTCTCACCGCTAAGGTTAAAAACAGAGGTTTAGATACACGTCTTCTGCAGAGTATGTGAAAGCCGCACAGCCGCGCCAAGGCTTCTCTGTGTAGTGCGGTCCTAACTCTAACCTATGAGAGTCTCCATCTTGAAGCCCATATAGGCCACGAAGTGCCTATATGACTGGCCACGTACACTGTAAGTAATTTGAGGCTCTGTAATGCTGGAAACCGCTGATTCTCAGTATTGAGGCATTCATTAATGAAAGAATGAAGCCGTTACATACAAATACGGGAGCGCTAAATAGCGATCCGGTCGTTGACAGCTGAAGATAGCAGAGAGGTAGCGGAGTGAGTCACCTCTCTACTATTGGTTTCCACAGCTTGAGACTGGCCCGATGTTTATGATACATTTCAGGCACAGTGTTACAATGTATCTCTGTGCCTGAAATGTATCACTTCTGATCGTCTAGGCAGGATCAGAAACAGTTAGTGAGATCCAATTCTGACACGCTGTCAGGATCAGTCTCTAAGGTTATTATTAGCTGTTCCTAAGTTTTGAGCAGCCTAATAACCAAAAATTAAAAAAGTTAATTAAACTGAAAAAAAGAAAAGTTTCCATTTTACAAAGTGTAAAAAAAAAAAATGAAGTAAAAAAATTAAGAAAATAAAACTTATATATAAATATGTTTTATACTATAATTATTATTTTAAAAAATCTAAAATAATAATAATCAAAACTTGATACAAAAAGTGTTTTACTTACGATTTTTTCCTCATTTTTTTAACATTTTATTCTTACTGAGGGGTTAGGTACACATATGTGATATAATTATATCGCCCTATCTGTCCTCTAAAAACAATATATAATATGTGTGGGTGCATTTAGTAAGAAAGTATATCACCGATGTGGAAGAATCACACAGCAACAATGTAAAAAGTGCGTCAGTCATTTACCAGCAGAAACTGGAAACTAGCTTAGTCATGAAGGGGTTAAAAGGAACAGGGACGCTCAAGGGAACCCGCACATGACAACGGCAGCCGAGACCCCCCCCAGTGTGTCACTGCACCAAATGGCAAACGCACTCATCAACTAATAACCAGCTTTAAAGTGCACATGGAAGGGCTTTAAATGATACAACAGTATTACGTGTTACATTTGCATACATTTTATCACCTCCTACAGAGTTGCAATAGCTGCATTTCATATGATCTGGTCCTGTTCCAATATACGGAATAACCCGCGGTTCTCATGTTAAGACAGAGAGAGACACACACAGGAGTGGCAGTACTGGTTGAGGGAGGGAGCGGTGCCGCCCACCCCAGTAATATTAATTGCTCCCCCCTATCGAATCTGCCACTGGCCCTACCGGCGGCACCCTGGGCACATGCCCCCCCTAGCTTCAGCACTGCCCCCCAACCACCCTCGTGCCTCCCCTTCCCCCACACTGAGCCACCATTACCTGGCTTCTCCCCACTTTTTCTATGTCCCGCAGCCTGCTGTCTGGGTAATAACGAGATGCCCCGCTTCCCGAGAGCCCGCACTGTACCGAGAGCCGCGCATTCCTTGTGACAGCCGCTGCTTGAGTCAGTGAGAGGCAGCCCCGGAGCCTCCGTGCCGCTTCAATGATAGGCAAATCTCCTTAATTTTGTAGCCTTACCGATCTTTACAAAATACTGATTTTGATCAAATGGAAGATCTAACGGAACTAGTCTCAAGTTTTAGATGTACATGCGATAGCTCAACGAACATTATGGAATAGGGGGGCTGCCGTTCTACAGTCGCACGCTGGTCTTCTTCCCGTCATGTTAATCTAAGTGGCTTTGATTCTCAAGACACTTTATGCCACATCTGTCCCAAGAAGTCCTCCAGCTGAAGACAGGCACGTGTCAAACCCAGATATCATAAATCAGTCAACCCCACTTCCAGGTCACCATATGGGGCAACCCAAATCACTTACCAATGGCTACCACATACAGTATCAGACCTTGCCTCAGTCATTAGTAGTTCCCCTTAGACTTCCTCGGGAGTTCTCAGCACAGGCCAAGGTACGCCTGCACAACACAAGAGCAGCAATGGGAACAGCACAACACTGAAACAAGGTCTTTGGGTGCTTCCATAACCAATTAGAACATGCCTATAACCAGGGGCGGACTGGGCCGGGGGGCAGGGTGGCAATTGCCCCCCGGGCCTCTCTGCTGCCTTTAAAAACGGCAGCTGCCATTCACTGGCCCCCGCTAAAAGAATCCTCCGGCCGCCGGTGCAGTGGCTCCCCCCGCAGCCACCTTACAGAGTACAGACCCGCTACAGATGCGGCTCTGTACTCGGCGGCCGCTCGCTCCTCTAGGCTGACCTCTGGAGGCCCCCACGGGCGGCCCTCTTCAGTGCCTGATTACATCCAGCCAGCGCAGATAGCAACGGTATGCGATCCAGGCTGGCTGGATCAGGCACTGTAGAGGGCAGTGTGAGGCACTGCCTCACACTCACCGCCCGCCAACATCCACGATCGGCACCAGGAAGCGGGGAGAAGTAAGGAGGATCACGCGTGAGGGGATGACAGCCGCCAGCAGACAGGTCCGATCTCAGAAGCAAGTTGCTGGAAGACTGCTCAGGTGCGCGCCTGCACCCCACCCCACCCCACACACACACACACACACACGTGCTCTATAATGTATTGCTGGGATTTGTATTCCTCTATAGCTGATGGTACATTGTGCTGTATATTATACATAGGAATACAGATCCCAGCAATACATTATACACTGTATGCATAATGTACTATTGCTGGGATTTGTTGTACTCCTCTATAGCTGGTGGTATTCTGCAGTGCGCTGTATAGAGGACTACAAATCCCAGCAATAATATATTATACAGCGCAATGCAGAATACCGCCAGCTATAGAGGACTACAAATCCCAGCAATACAATATACAGCAATGCAGAATACCACCAACTATAGAGGACTACAAATCCCAGCAATATATTATACAGCAATGCAGAATACCACCAGCTATAATGTACTATTGCTGGGATTTGTAGTCCTCTATAGCCAGTGCCATTCTGCATTGATTGCTGTATAATTTTACACTTTCCATTTCACTATATTCCACACCACACTTTTTCTTCCACCGCTCCAAGCTTGCTCCTGTGATGGACTACAATCTCAATACAAACTAGTAGTCCATCACTGGAGCCTTTTTTTAAAATCGCGATTAATTGAACTTAATCGGCTAACTAATCGATTTTGAAAATAATCGTTAGCTGCAGCTATAGATAAATGGTCACCCTATACCAGGGATCCCCCACTAACCACCAGGCAGCCTCCACAGAGCCCCCCACTAACCACCAGGGAGCCCCCACTGGCCACAGTGGATCCCCCACTAACCACCTGGGAGCTACCACTGATTAGGGAGCCCCCACAGATCCCGCACTGACCAGCAAAGAGCCCACATTGGCCACCTGTGAGCCTAATTAGGGAGCCGCCTCTGCTGCACCCACGACACTCTGGACCCCTGGTGAGAGCCCGCACATCCCTCCTGAGACCCTGGAGACATCAGGCGGAGGTGGAGGCACAGGTTCAGGGATGGGGGGGTGCCGCTGAACCCCCCCCCCGGTTGTTACGCAAAATGCACGAGCAAAAGGCGGAGGCCCCTTTAAACGGCCGCTGCAGCGGCGATCCGTTCTGTCATTTCTCTCCTCCCGCCCGCTTTGTAGCAGCGGCCAGGGAGGAGAAAAGCCGGTTCAGCTGCCTCTGATGCCCGATTCAGTAGTCGGGCTCCTCAGCAGCAATGTGCAGCTTCCTCCGCCCACTCCAGCTGCTATGGGCTGGGAGGAAGCTGCACCACCATCAATGGCTGATAGGAGAGCGGCATGGGTCCTGGGAGCAGCAAGCAGACTGGGCCACCATGCTGACTGGAGGCTTCACAGGAACAGTAGACATCGCTGCTCCCACCAGGAGAGGAAAGAGTGGACATGGAGCGGAGTAAGGCCAGAACCATGTAGGGAGCCTAGTAGCCATCACCCAGCCCCATTCATGGACTTACTAGGAGTCCTCACATCTCCCGACCATTCACACTATGGTTACATGGAAGGCAAAAGTGGCAGACGGGCGGGGAGAAGGCAGGGACGAGGCAGAGCAGGAGGGGGGCCAAGTTGCTGCACCATGGGCCTCTGGGTTTGACTTGCCCCCTGGGCTAAAAGTTGCCAGTCAGCCCCTGCCAATAGCCATCATGGACAACTGGCCGTTGGCTGCCTATAGCCATCATGGACAACTGGCCGTTGGCTGCCTATAGCCATCATGGACAACTGGCCGTTGGCTGCCTATAGCCATCATGGACAACTGGCCGTTGCCTGCCTATAGCCATCATGGACAACTGGCCGTTGCCTGCCTATAGCCATCATGGACAACTGGCCGTTGCCTGCCTATAGCCATCATGGACAACTGGCCGTTGCCTGCCTATAGCCATCATGGACAACTGGCCGTTGCCTGCCTATATGACTTTAATGTAAAAGACCAAAACCATTAAAGTTCCCGTGTTCAGCTGCTTAAAAAAACAAAACTCAAAAGGACTAGAAATTGATAAGGTTTTGTTTTTTTCTTTATTAGGTTGTGTTAACTCACAATAAGGACACATCCCTTGAAGTTGGAGCACTAACATGTGCCCAGTGCCATTAGGAGCACATTGGAAGGGACCTTTGCTGCACACACTTCAAATACAGGCCGGGACTCTCTCCTAGCTGAGGCTTCATGACTGCAATGGCATTACAGCAGAATGGGATCTTAGACCTGAATGAAGAGTTTTTTCCCCCAGAAGAAGATCCATAAAAGAGTTCACCAGATCTCACGCCGTTTCCACATCCTCCTCTTCAGCATAAAACTGGTAGGACTTTTCCAGGAGGGGCTTCAGCACTTCATTCCTCTGGCCCCTTCTCTTGGCAGCACACCGGGCAGCAACAAATATTACAGCCACAAGAACCAAGGCCACAATGACCGCTATTATTGTAATCTCTTCATTTTTTAATGGAAGCCCTAAAAAGGAGATAAGAAAAGTCAGCAAGCATTTTTCCAAACATTGCAATCACAAAGTCATCAAGTCTTGGGTTCTACAGTTCTCCCAACCCCAAGAATGCTCACTTGACAGCAAAGGCCCACCGGTCAACATGTAGTGCCATCTTCCACCAAACAGGTTGGCCCTATCTGGCCAGTTCACCCACCCAAAGCACTGGCTAATGAGATGTAAAAACAGCTGGAGATCCTTATAGATATCATTGACCAAATCTGGTCATGACTGACAGACTGAACCGTCACTGGGGCTGCTGGCAGGAGCCTAAGGGCAGGCCTCCTTCTTACCAACTATGGACCTACTACTATGGAGACCCCTCCTCGGACCTCTTGGGGTTACATGGAACCATTCTCCTAGGTGCATGTGTGCAGTGAAAATACTGCATGTTTCCCCTGGCATTATGTTTAAGTGACCCTGTTCATTATAGGCAGGATGCCTAGAGTGGCCATTGTTTAGGGGGGATGGGATCAAGCTCTTATCTAATTAAGGACATTTCAAAGAGTCTCTGCTTAAGGAATTCCAATGTGGCACCTGGCTGTCTGGGGGAGGGGAATTGGTCAATGTAACACACTGAACTATCTGATTCTGTGAGGTATAAACTCTGTGGGCTTTCTTCAATAAACCATTTCATGTTTGCACTCCAAAGTCAGT